CTGTTAGGGTCAATTTGCATATTACCCTTTTATTATATGCCTGGTGCATGGGTGGGGGCTGGCTGGTTTGCCCTGAAGGGTGTCCCGGATCAGGGTGGGGGTCCCGCTGGGGTGCCTGGCCAGCCTGGGTGAGGAGCTGAGAGCAGTTTTCAGGCTGGCCATACCCCCTTCAGGGAGGGGGGGTCCTGCTGGGGTGCCTGGTCAGCCTGGGTGAGTGGCTAATGGCTGTTTGCAGGCTGGCCACAGCCCCCAGCCACCCAAGCTCCCAGTGGAGGCTGGCTGGAAGCAGGTATCTGGGATTTATTTTTCTTCTATAATTGAAACTTTGTTGCCTTCAGCGGAGGCCAGAGCCTGCCAAGGCAGGCGGGAAGCTTGGCTTCCTCCATTGCCAGGGCAACCAAGCCTCCTGCTTGATCCAGCTCTGTGGCTGCTGGCCGCCATCTTGGTTGGGTTAATTTGCATATAGCCACTGATTGGCTGGTGGGCATGGCTTGGGGCATAGCAAAGGTACAGTCAATTTGCATGTTTCTCTTTTATTAGATTAGATACTAGAGGCCTGATGCACAAAGATTTGTGCAAGAATAGGCCTTTCTTCCCCTGGCCGCTGGCACCGCCTTCGCTCCGGCCCGGAGCCGCCTCCTTCCACCTCTCGCCTTCTCGTCAATTTGCATATTCCCTCCTTATTGGCTGTGGGTGCCTCCATCTTTATCACAAAGTGACAGTTAATTTGCATAGTACTCTTTTATTAGATAGGGTAATCTTGACCAAGCAGGTGTCCACTTTTTTGTATGATTTTTGGCACTAGGTTGACAAAATACAACTTGTGAAAAATGTTGATTGCACAAAGTTTCACAGTGTTCTTGACTGTGGTGAGCTATTTTCAGTGAAAGTCAGTGCAGTTGGTCAGCCTGATGCCACCAACATACATGCTGGCACAATGAGTGGCTTTGAATACCTCAGAATAGGAAAGTGATGGAAGAGAAAGAGGATTTGGTGAAGAATTTCAGCTTTGAGGAGTGTGGGTGAAGCAACTTCTGCTCTCAGTGAGGCCGTGGCATCTCTCCCGGTGAACTGCAGAATCTCCTGAAGGTGGTTTTATTGCAGTCAATTTCCAATCTTGAGGAACTTGAGCTTTTTTTGAAAACAAATGCCATCTGGTATATTTATTTCAGAAGGTAAGAAGAAAGTGCTAGGACTTAATACTTCCAAAGAAAAGCTAATACTGCTTTTATTTATTTTTATTTATTTGTTGTTGTTAATCCTCACCTGAGGATATTTTTTAAAAGTGATTTTTAGAGAGTGGAGGGGAGAGAGGCGGAGGAGAGAAACACTGATGTGAGAGAGACACAGTGATAGGTTGCCTCCCACAAGCACCCCGACCTGGGGGTGGGGGCAGGGATCGAGCCTGCAACCAAGGTACATGCTCTTGACCAGTAATCAAACCTGAGACCCTTCAGTCTGTGGGCTGCTGCTCTAACCAGTGAGCTAAACTGGCCAGGGCTAGCTAATACTTTTACCTGGAAATTGTGAGGGTGATTTAAACTAAAATCTTTGCTGGTGTACCATTCCAGAACCCCCAGGGCCCTCAGGTAACGTTGAGGAGTGCATGGCCTGCTACTTCGTGTTCAAATCTATATACCATATATAGAAGGAAAATGCTCCACACAGGCTTCTTTGATTAAGGATGATGCTTTGGACATTCTTCTGGAGCGTTCAGTTACAAATATCTGTGCGGTCTTTTGGCTTCTCTCCATCCTTATTTTAGCCTTTATACCGAGGAGTCGCCACAACCTTCAATGCACATCAGCTGATGACAAAGCATCTGAGGTGGAGTGTTGACAAGAGACTGTACTTTGATGAAGGATTCATGGAAGAGTTTACCATAAAGGCATCTGCTGCACTGATTAGCCTTGGAAAGAAGTGTCACTACAAATGATAAATGAAATAGGGAAGAGATGCCTCCTGAAATTTTCTGCCAGCATTAAAGGTTTTGAGGAAGTGACTATTCAAAGCAAAGTCTTTCATTTTGCTAAGGAGCCTGGAGTAAGCAAAGTGAACAGTAAAAATGTTGAAGAATTACTAGCTCACTAATGAAGAGCAAAGAACTTACTAAGAAGCTCTTTCAAATTGATGGTCGTTGTTGGTCTGAGGCAGGGGAGCTCCATTATTGAATGCCAAACCTTTAAAACACAACTACAGGCAGAATCTTAGGCCGTCGGGATCTCTAAGATAAGGCATCGAGGGAATGCAAACAAGTGTTCATTTTGTGTTTTTTTGTTTTTGTTTTTTGTTTCAGCTTCCAAAGATGGTTCTTAACCATCTACTTCTGGAGTATGTAATGCCAAGGAGGGACTGTCTGCCAGTGTCTCAAATTTGGACAGTGGATAAGTCTCAGACCATTGCTCCCTCACTCCTACACTGGCTCCCTCTTGCTCAGTCTCCCCACCCCCATGCCCTCTGTCCACTTCCCTCCTCTTGCCTCCAAATGCCACTCCTCAGGCAACTCTTCATTGGGATCTAACCAATTAAAAAAAGGCTTTGTTTACTGTGTTTACTAAATGTCAATTGCACTCAATATGTATCTTCCTTCACACATTATTTCACCACCTATTTTTATTTCAAAGAAGTTAACTGAAGCAAGGTGCAGTTTTTACCTAATACTGCATAATATTGTGTATTCTACACAAATATGCCTACCAATTAGCTCACTGACAAATAATTAGGTAATTGATGTTTTAAATGCTTTCTATGATACAAAAATCCTTGCTAAATACTAAATGGACTGTTATGTGCTTCAGTAATTGGTTGAAGTTCTTGGACAAGCAGAGACATGTAATTTTTTCCATTTAAAGTAATGGAACGTGGTGTCCTGCAACCCCCAGATCTGCTTTCCAGCACTCTCTTGGGAACAGATTGGATGTGGGTAACGAGATGCCTGTGCATGAAGTGCTGCTTTGGGAACTGTCGAGTGCCACATAATGTTAGTATCTAGAGGTTAGAGTAAAACAGAGGTTCCCTGTTGCCAGACTCATCTATCCAAGCTCCTCACTGAACAGATGAGGATGCAGAGTGGGGCCTGGAGGCGAGGAGCTGGGGCCAGTCACGGTCAGTGCCGACTGAGGACAGAAGCTGATGACCGGGCACAGGGCTCTCTTCTTCTCCCCTCTGTAATTTCCTTTTTAAAACACTAATAGTTCTCTGGTTTGGGGAGCACCATGCCCTTTAAAACTTTCCAATTAATGGCCAATTACAATAAAAGGACTCTTTACCTCGCCCTGAGCTTGGCTTATTGTAGGAGACTCAATAAATATTTTTTGGCGAAATCAGAATTCTGAGGTCAAACTGTTAAAGTTCATCTTGGTCACTCCTCTCCCGTGAAGAAACCCAGCGGCTCAGAATCACTTCCTGTAACCAATCAAAACAAAAAAGACCAATAAATTTCAAAAACAGAAATGAAAGAACATGCTAGACATGTGACATCACAGCTACTTTTCACAGAAAGCTATTACATAATGAGGATATATGTTCCCATTTCTTGTAACTGGACATTTGGAGGAAAGTGAATGTAGCAATATAAACTTTACATGCAAGTAGTATCTACCGTAACTGTGAAAAGGTTTTGAAAGCTAAACTTGCCTCAGCTGAGGGATTCTACTAGCACCTTCCAGGATCAGAAGTGCCAGTACAAAAGCTCCTATTTAACATCGGAACCAAGTCTACGATGGCGCTGATATATCCAGGTCAGCACTGAGAGGACAGAAATGGATCTGGACTGGCATTTTATGAAAACTTAACCTAGTGGGGAAGGCAGGACAAACTGAAGGGATGAGACGCTGGGGTCCTCGAGCAGGTCTGCAGTGGGATGGGGCAGTGAGACCAAGAGGAAGGGTGCAAGGTTAGAGAAAAACAATGAAGTACTGGATGTGGAGGAGGGTCAGACAGGGCGAGAGATGGAGATATTCAACGCTGGATGACTGGACAATGAACTTGGCAGCCCTGGCAGAGAAAATCCTGCCAGGACGACCAGGGGAGACTCAGCTCAACACAGAACCCCAGAAGCCAGGCGAGAAGTTCAAGGAAGGAATGTCAACAGTGACACTCCTAGCCTCTGAGAATGCGACTGAGGAGAGGTCTGGCCTGGCCAGGGGGTCCCAGGCCGCCCGGGACGGCAGTTTTAGCTGGTGGTGAGGACAGAAACCAGATCACATCGCAGGTATGGAGACAGCAGGAATTAAGGGGGAGTGAGAGTGGGTTTAGCAGGGAAGGCCCGAGAAGACCTTCTTTCCAAGGCAAGATGGCTCATTTGTTTTCGTGGGAGCACGTGATCCAGAGGACGCGATGCAATGGACAGAATCTTTGGGATGAACTGAATGACCTCTAAGTTACACACCTGAACTTTAATTCTCTTCATGCATTCTGGGGATTCCATTTCTTTGTCAGTCATGGTAGAGGGTTTAATCAGATAGCATAGCAGGAGTTCCTATTGAGAAATAAAAACAATCTCCATATCCCACAAAGTAATAATACAAATCTGAGTGCGTCAGCAGGAAATGCAGTCTCCACTCCCGCTCACCATGTGCTCCTGGAAACATCACAAAGCACAGCAGTGTCCTCCTGGGAGCATCATAGCTGGGCTCACACTCTAGACCAGTGGTTCTCAACCTTCCGGCCCTTTAAATACAGTTCCTCATGTTGTGACCCAACCATAAAATTATTTTCGTTGCTACTTCATAACTGTAATGTTGCTACTGTTATAAATCGTAATGTAAATATCTGATATGCAGGATGGTCTTAGGCGACCCCTGTGAAAGGGTTGTTCGACTGCCAAAGGGGTCGCGACCCACAGGTTGAGAACTGCTGCTCTAGACTAAAGACCTGCCATTTAGATATTGTTGACATGTCAAGAGAATGCAAATAAAGCAAATAAAGTACATATATTGGTTATAAACATAAAATTTAATATATTAAATGTTTGCTCAAAAAGTGGGCATAAAAACATTAGAAACAGTATAGACTCCCATATTTCTATAGGACAAAACTACTTTTCCTAGGCTACAGCCTAAGCAACTTCCCTGGCATTGAAGACAGCTGTCACCTGGCCCCTCTGGACTCGCCAGTCTCAGCTCTCACACTCCCTGCAGCAGTGGGACAGATGGGAGGGGGCCCACAATTTGTTTCAGTTAGCAAACTACTGAATCACAGAGAACACACAGAGCTTCCAGCCTTTATAGTCCTGGTGACTTCCTTCCTATCTTGATGGCAGCAGGAAACAGAGCACAGTCGGGCAGTCAGCTGGCTCTCCGTTCGAATCCCACTTCTGCATTTGAGCTGCATGATCATGGGTTTCTCACCCAACATCTCTGACACTCTGATTCCTCACTTTTAGAATGAGGATAAGAAATGGTGGTGAGAAACATGCAATGTGTTTATAGCAATAAATATTAATTCCCTCCCTGCCTTTTCAAGAGATCTGCGAACTTTGAAAAGAAACGTGTCAATGTTTGGACTCCTTTGTGAATGTGTGGGTGAATTTTTGAGCATGTGCTGGCTGTGCTTACCAAAGGCACCCCAGAGAAGAAAGGCAATGCCCACCAACATCAATCACTATGGGAAACTTCGAAGCTCAATTCCTGGAGCTTAGAACCAGGTGGTGGTGGGAGGGACATAAGGGGGAGGAGAGCTTCTATCTAGCCCAATCTTCCAGAACTTCACTGGTACAAACACTTTGAAGTTTCTCCAAATGACTTTTCTATTTCTACTACATTTAAGAAGAAAAAAAAAATCCAACCATTTAAGTGACAGATAATGCCAGAGCTGATGTTACCTTGGAGACATTCACTGAAACTCTGCTCAAGGTAGCCAGTGACTTCCAACTGAAAGGTCTTCGAAGAGAGCCCTCAAAATGGTCATCAACTAACTCAATAATGACAGAATAACTGGAAAACACACAACGGGGGTTTTAAAAATAAAACATATGAAATCAATCCATTTAAAAAGAATATTGTTTTTCCTACCAAGAACAAAGCTACAAAAAAATGTACATAATCTGATCCTAATTTCCCTAGACTGCTGAGAAAGTACTAATGAAAAACTCACACTTCATGTTATAAAATTTTAGACTGATTTCAACACATATAGGAAAGGAACAGAAATCTTTCTCCCAATATGAAAGCTGAGAATTCACTCAATGGTTTGGATACTAATACTCACTGATATTAAGATGAACAGTTACTACATAGAGTAACTCAACGTTTAATACTAAAAGACAGATTATCATAACCATTTATTATTTTATATATAGTATAACACTGTTGGTGGATGAGGCACAAACGCATAGTATTAATCCTTATCAGGCCAACAGGAACATGACTAATTGATTCTGTGGCACTAAAAATTAAAGTGGAGGCCAAAAATGTCATGTCCCTTTAAGTCACTGACATTTAAAAATCACTCCAGCCTGGCCGCGTGGCTCAGTGGCTGAGCATCAACCTATGAACTAGGAGGTCATGGTTCGATTCCCAGTGAGGACACATGGCCAGGTTGTGGGCTCGATCCCGTGTGAGGCATGCAGGAGCACCCGACCAGAGATTCTCTCTCATCATTTGTGTTTTTTTTTCTCTCTCTCTCCCTCTCCCTTCCTCCGTGAGGCATGCAGGAGGCACCCGACCAGAGATTCTCTCTCATCATTTGTGTGTTTTTTTCTCTCTCTCTCCCTCTCCCTTCCTCTCTTAAATCAATAAAAATATATTTTAAAAAATCACTCCAAACCTTGCATGGTAAAATGGAGGTCCTTTTCGATACAGCACTGCAAAGAAAAAGAAAGAAAATGTATAACTATGTGAAATAAAAATCTTATTTTATTACTTAAGTTTTTTTCTGCTCCACAGAGATATAAACACCCAATTAGCTATATGTGGGTAATCTGCAATATGCTCTGTAGTCTATTTTTAAAATCCAAACTGTTTTTCCCCCTGGAATGAAATGCAATTAGTAAAGCAAATCTGTTGCCAAGACCCTAACACTCTCCTCCCATCCCACCCCACAAATGAATTCTAAAGTCAAGTAAAAGTAATTCTTATCTTGCTGCTTGTTTTATACTCTCTGGAGTGAGCGCTTGAAAGTGTATTAAGAATGTGAAATTTATATAAAGTAGATAAACATTTTTATTTCTTAAATATTTTGTTGATTTCAGAGAGAGAAGGGAGAGAAACATCAATGATGAGAATCATTGATCAGCTGCCTCCTGCATGCCCGCTAGTGGGGATTGAGCCCATAACTTGGATAAGTGTCCTGACTGGGAATCGAACCCTGACCTCCTGGTTCATGGGTAGATGCTCAACTACTGAGCCACACAGGCCAGGTGTGGATGAACATTTTGTTATTCGTGTCAAATCAATGTAATTCAAAGTGTCTGAGCTAATGTGGCCAGTACCAACTTAGATGTTGGTGCTGGATATGAACAAGGCTCATGCCTATTTTTAAGAAATTCAAAGTCAAGTGGGGAAAAGAAATCACAAAACCATACACACCACTCAGAGATCGGTCTGCCCTACTACAGCAGTGCCCCCTCCCATGCGTGAGGACATGTTCCAAGATGCCAGTGGATGCCTGAAACCAAGCCCCTATATATATGTTTTTTCTTACACATACATACCTGTATTAAAGTTTAATGTACAAATTAGTCAGAGATTAACGACAATAATTAATAATAAAATAGAACCATTATAATGGCTTTGGGCCATTATTAAGGTAAAATAAGTGTTACTTGAACACGAGCACTGTGATACCCCAACCGCTGATCTGACAGCTACTAAGTGACTAATGGGTGGGGATCATCTACAGCGTGGAGACGTGGAGATGCTGGACAAAGGGATGATTCATGTCTTGGGCGGGATGGAGCGGGACAGCAAGGGACTTCATCATGCTACTCAGAATGATGCACAATTTAAAACTTATTAATTATTTCTAGAATTTTCCATTTAATATTTTTAGACCGACACTGACCATACGTAACTGAAATTGAGAAAAAAGAAAGGTGGGATAACAGGGGACCACTGGTAATTCAGTGTGTGGAGGTCAGGAGCTGCTGCTGAAAGCATGGGGCCAGGGACTCTGCCCCGAGGTCCTGGAACTGCGGGAGCCCTTCGGAGGGAGGCACAGCCTGTGGCAGGGAGGCGAACACCACACCTCACAGGGTAGAATGATTAAAGGAGATGAGAGCAGGAAAGCACCGAGGCAAGCTCTGGTCAAAGGAGCCAGCACCACGGGAGCTTCTGGGTGGGAATGTAAAGACTCCCCCATGGCCCCCGTGGCTTCCAGTCTCCTTTTCACCACTGGGTGAGCAAGGTCAACTAGCCGCGCAGCTGCACTTGATTTGAGATCCCTATCACTTGTTCCAAGTACTGCTCCTGGAATGAAATTTGATTGACAAGATTTATTCAAGGAAGAGTTTCCCTGATAAGATGTGAATTTCATAACGGCCCTTTGTCATGAGTCATTAGCTCTGTAAGCAGAAACAACTGTTAAAAGAATGTCCTGGATTTAACCCGGGCTGGCAGTTCTGAGGTACATGTGATTAGGTCACTAGCCTTCAAAACTAAAATAATATTGTTAAAAACCAGGCACTGAGCAGCTGTGCCTGGAGAAGGGTAAAGCTTAGGAAGCGTTCCTCCCATCCCAGGCTAGCACTGCTGGTGAACCCTTGCTAACGCAGGAACTGGGAAGACACCCTTCGTGTGGCTGCTGGGCCAGGGGCCTGCTCTCACATTAATTATACAAGCGGCTCCAAGTGCATGATAGGCCCCAGCTGTGGCAAAGGCCTCCGGGGAGTTGGGAAATAGCAGTTGATTTATTTCTTTTCTTTTCTTTTTAGAAAATCCGCCTGCTTGTCCGTTCTTTCATTCATCCTTATAAGGCAGTTTATTTTTAAATTAGGAAAGTTCTTGCCCGGCCAGTGTGGCCCAGTGGCTGTGTCGACCAATGAACCAGGAGGTCAAGGTTTGATTCCCAGACAGGGCACATGACCAGGTTTCAGGCTCGATCCCCAGAAGGGGCCTGCAGGAGACAGCCGATCAAGGATTCTCTCTCTCTTTTTTAAAAAAATATATTTTATTGACTTTTCCACAAGGAGGGGAGAGGGATAGAGAGCCAGAAACATCGACGAGAGAGAAACATCGATCAGCTGCCTCCTGCACGCCCCCCACTGGGGATATGCCCGCAACCAAGGTACATGCCCTTGACCGGAATCGAACCTGGGACCCTTGAGTCCGCTGGCTGACGCTACATCTACTGAGCCAAACCGGCTAGGCAAGGATTCTCTCTTATCATTGATGTTTCTATCTCTCCCTTCCTCTCTCTGAAATCAATATAAAAAAAAAGATGTTGTTTTACAAAGCAGGTATTGTTACCCATGTTATATGAAGAGCAAACGAAAGCTTGGAGAGATGAAGAAACTTGCGTAGAGCCAGCTGTGACCCAAAAGAGTGCTCTTTCCATCACCCCATGCCACCTCTTAATGCATCACTGTAGCCTTATCCACTGGAAAATTCTACTCAAATTTCACCCATAAATTGAGAAAGTTGGAGAAGACCTGCCAAGCATTTGCACTGAGTGGCTATTCTTTTGTTTTTCTTTTTTTAAATCCTCACCCAAGGATGTGTTTTTATTGATTTAAGAGAGAGAGAAAGGGAGAGGGGGGAGAAAGAAAAACATGGATGGGAGAGAGAAACTTCGATCAGTTGCCTCCTGTACCCACCCTGACCAGGATCAACCCTGTGACCTTTCAGTGTACGGGATGATGCTCCAATCAACTGAGCCACACCGGCCAGGGCCTGAGTGGCTATTCTTACAGGAACATGAAAAGGAGAACAGGGCAGGAAGCCAATGAAGAAAAATGAAACAGGCACATCACTTATTTAAGCAACGTGACCTGTAGCCAACACAATGATCTGGAAACCTAGCAAACTAATCTCAAGCTCATTCTGAACATTTGTGCGGTAACTCTGAGTTAGGATATTTGTATCTGAAATCCAGGCATGGAAGAAACAAACCATTTATCTTAGCGATATGGGTGATTCCTAACCTTTATTTTAAATTGTTGGCCCCCTTTGAGAATTTCATGGAAGCTACAGACTCTTGACCCAGAAAAACACACCAATCTATAAACACAATATTTTGAGTAAAATTTCAGGCGGTACCTTCCAGCCCCTGAAGACCATCGTCTGAGTCTAGGTTAAGCACACTCAACATTAGAGCACTTAAAGATTTAAAAGACTGAACTGGCTTCCTTTGGGGACTTACAAGGCTCAAAAGCATATGGGACAAGTAGCTGACAGAGCTCAAAAGGCCTCAAGGGCCAGGACTTCTGAGAAGGCCTCTCCAATATCTGGCCTATCTTCCCAATATCTCCAGGGGGCTTGCTTAATGTGTCCAAAATATTAAGCCAAATACCTAGGCATTCTCCCTGATTCCTCTCTTACCCACAAATCTCACATCCATTCCATGTGCAGGGCTGGCTGGGCTCAGCTTCCCTAACTAAGTGACTCTGCTTCATGTTTGCTCTCCTGCAGTCTTTTAGTAAGAGACGAGAAAGAGGATCCTGTTATATTAAGTCATTAAATTTAAGTCACTCAGTTGATCTAAATCTCCTAAGACATCCAATCAGCACAGTAACATCCAAAGTCTCTGCCAGGCCCTAGGGGAGCCGGCCCCAGCCTACACTCACTCTCCCCTGGACCTCTAAGTTCCAGACACAGTCTTCCTGTGGTTCCTGCCACGCTTGTTCCTGCCTCCGGGCCTTTTCACTTGCTGTTCACTGTACCTAGCACGTTCTTCCCCAAATTCTCAAGGGAACTGCTCTCACTGTGGCCACATATTTTCAGAGTGCTTTCCTGACCCCTTTACCAGCTCCCTTGACTCTGCTCTATTTTCCTACAATACTTACAGCACCTGCAAATGCATTATGTATTTGTTTGCTTGTTTGTCTCCCCCTCCAAAAAGTAAGTTGTCCCATCAAGGCAGCTTTGTGCTTGTCTTGTTCATGTCTGTGTTCTTGGCCCACAGGAGACCTTCAGCAATTCTCTGTTGAATGAAGTGCTTACATGGCTCAGACTCCTCACTTCAAGTAAAGATCAGTGGAGGAAGAACTATGGAGAAGTTTCACAGAGTCCGGGCTCCAACACTAAAAGCCCAGCTCTGTAAGTTACTGGCCCTGAACACTGTTAGGGGCAAATGACCATTCCCCCAAAACTGCAGTCTCCTTCTCAGAAAAATGAGGTTAACAGTACCCATTGCCCAGGACCGCCGTAAGCATTACATGAGCTAATGAATGCAAAACACTCACTGCAATGCTTGGCATGTACTGAATGACTAATCAATGAGAGCTGTAGTTATTATTATAATGATTATTCTCATTTGCCAGATGAGGCAACTGTGGCCCAGAGGACAAGGGACTGCCTTATGTAACATGACCACATGGCTACTGAGAGGTGAGGGTAGGGAGGTGGGGGTGCTGTAGGTTATAGAGCAGACAAGAGGAGAAACCTGACGTGGGTCTGCAAGCTTCTACTCCTGGGCTTTTCTCCTAGATTGCCCTTTCGCTCACTCTGGACATACCCTAAACCCAATCCAAATATCCAGTATTCTTATTTAAGCCAGAAGGAAGCACCTCTTAGAAAAGATGAGCAACAGCACATATAACCAAATCTGATTTTCATCCTAGGATCTGATGCAAACCCTGGCTCTCACACCTACCAAGCCACAAATTACTTACGTAGGTCTGTTCCGTACTTAAGTCCCACTTTGGGCACCCAGCCCTTGCTCCGGAAGTAATGGTATGCCATATAGGTAGTCCTGAATGTGGGCTGAACTGCCGTGAAAACTTTCCAGAGTTTCATAATCGTTAAAGGCTCCTAAAGTTATTGAACAAAAATAGGCATTATTATGTATTTACTCACTCATCATTCATCCAGTGAATCAACATGTGTAAGTGTGAAGCTGGAGCAGTGAATAAAACAAACATGGTACCACCCTGGCCAATGTGGCCAAATGGGTAGAGCGTCAGCCCGAACACCAAAGGGTCAAGGTTCGATTCCCGGTCAAGGGCACATACCTGGGTTGCAGGTTCGTTCCCCAGTCCCAGTCGGGGGGGCATGCGAGAGGCAACCAATTGATGTGCCTCTCTCACATTGATGTCTCTCTCTCCCTCTCCCCCTACTGCTCTCGCTAAAAACCAATGGAAAAAATATCTTTTGAGGATTAACAACAAACATGGTACCCAGAACAGAGGGACTTAACTAGAAGAGCTAGACATGTGCTGTCCAATGAGGTGCCTGAACTGAGATGTGCTGCAAATGTAAAATACACACAAAATTTCAAAAGCTTAGTATAAAAACAACTACCTCCATAATTTTGGACATGTTGGGTTACATAAACTATATATTATAAATTAATTTCACCTTAAAAAGCCACTTTTTAATGTGGCTACCAGAAAATTTTAGATTATATATGTGGCTCCTGTCTGAGGCTGCCCTGAAACAGTGACATCTGAGTGAAAGGGGGTGGTGGTGGCTGGGGAAGAACATTCCAGGCAGAGGAACGAGTACATTTGAACGGGGGGCTCAAATGTAACAAGTCCACAAGGCAGCATGTTCCAAAAGACCCTAAAGAGCAGCTACTATATGTCAGGCCATGCTCAGAAAAGCCACAAATAATTTTGTTAAAGCTTTAGAAGAATGCTCCATTTAGTTTTTGAAACTAGAGAATTTATTATCTGATAGCACAAATTAATAATCCACTACTTATAAGAGAACTTTGTTTCTAATGTAGGACTTGAAGAGACTGAGAATGTTCGGTTCAGAGAACATTCTGATGTATCAATACAAAAAAAAAATACAATGAAAACCAGATAAGTTTGGGAAGTTTTCTGCTTCATTTCAGTGCTTAGTAAAATGGTCAATTCTTCAGTTGGTTTAAGGTTCAGTCACTCGAAAAGATTTGCTCAGTTGACTCAGGTGAAGATTTTAATACCATAAGTATGAGTTACAGTCGTGGTTTTTCTTTTACTTTTTTGGAGTTAGTTGTTCCTAAGGTGGAAGCTCCATATGTGTGTGGCCTTCAAATCCCACTGCAAGGAAACACTCAACCCCTCCTCTGAGAAGCAAGTCGTGTAGAGCAGGCTGAACTTCCAGTTGGATAGCCCACCATGTTTCCGGTGTTGAGGGTTCTATACAGCAGTGGGAATGTTCTGACAAATTTCAGCTGAGGCCCAAGAGAGGAGGCAGGGTGGGCTAAGAATGGCCACCATCTGGGAAAATGAGTCACCCATCAGCCAGACACCCATTTTCAAACCCATGGAATACTCGTGAAAAAGATTTATATAATTAGAATCTGATGAGTGATAAAGTTATGTACTTCCAAGAACAGAATGAAATATGCCTTCTCTAGTTTATTTACTGTTCTGCTTACATTTTTCTTTTTAATTTAAATTTCATTTGAATCAGTTTGAATATGTATTATAATCACATGGATCAGAATTCAAAAAGTACAAAAAGTGAACAGTGGAGTCCTGGCCAGTGTGGCTCAGTTGGTTGGGTGTTGTCCCGTGCACTGAAAGATTGATGGTTCAATTCCCATTCAGAGCACATGCCTGGGTTGCGGGTTGGTCCCCGGCAGGAGGCATGCAGGTGGCAGCTGACTGATGTTTTCTCCCCATCAATGTTTCTCTCTTTCTACCTCTCCCTCCTCTCTATAAAAATCAATAAAACAACTATTCTTGCCCTCACTGGTTTGGCTCAGTGGATAGAGCGTCAGCCTGCGGACTTAAGGGTCCCAGGTTCGATTCCGGTCAAGGGCATGTACCTTGGTTGTGGGCACATCCTCAGTAGGGAGTGTGCAGGAGGCAGCTGATATATGTTTCTCTCTCATTGATGTTTCTAGCTCTCTATCCCTGTCCCTTCCTCTCTGTAAAAAAATCAATAAAATATATTAAAAAAACAAACAAACAAAAAAACAAAACTCTATTCTTAAAAAAAAAAGTGTACAGGGGAAAGTCTCTCTCCCATACGTGTACTCAGCCCTCCACTTCCTTTATTAGAAGGCAAGGAATGGTATCAACTTCTTATGGGATGACAATCTAAGGAAAGCAGGCTGCTGTACAAAATCATGTGGATTGGAGCTACCCTGACCTTGGGTGAGGTCACCTTATCTACAAAATTCTTACCAGATGGAAGTAAGGATTAGAAATATTGTACGTAAAGCACCTAACACACAGCCTGAAGTAGTGCTAAACACTGGTAGCTTTTACTTTTGTTGTTAATTCTGTAGTACTGTCCTGACACAGATTTCCTGGTCATTATGTAAGATATTGCTTTTCTCCTAACCTCTGGGAATAAAATTCAATCTGAAAGGGTCAAAGCTGGCTTTTGCCAGAACAGTTCCAAATCAGGACCCAAAGCTGAACTTTGAGAAGAAGTCACTTCCTATTTTATTTAGTGAAATTACTACAACCTACTTTTAATATCAGGAGAGTTTAAAGTGGATTACATATAAATAAAACAACTTACCTTTCCAGAGTAAACACTTAGACATCCCAGAGCATAGACCAGGAAGAAGGCCTAAAACAGGGCAAGCAGAAAGTGCTCATTAGAAACTATTTCACACTGCTGAGAAATTATTTTACAGATTGATTTGTTTTCACCTCAAATACAAATTAATGTTCTGAATCTTCATCAAAATGGTCACATATTTTTAACAGAAATGGTTCATATAATCTTCAAATGTTAAAAAAAAATCTAAGAAAATATGAATGTCCCAAACTGGTTTAAAATAAGTGAAAAATGCCCATTCTTGCCACCTTTACTCAACATCATACTAGAAGTCCTAGCCAGAGCAATTAGGCAAGAGAAAGAAATAAAAGACACCTAAATTGGGAAAGAAGAGGTAAAACTCACTACATACAGATGACATGATCTAATATATAGAAAACTCTAAAGAATCCACCAAAAAACTATTAAAACTAATAAATAAATTCAGCAAAGTTGTAAGATATAAAATACATAGAAAGAAATCTATTGAGTTTCTATACATTAATAAAGAACTACCAGAAAGAGAAATGAAAAAAAAAAAAATACAAACCAAAAACAATCCCGTTTACAATTGCATCAAAAAGAATAAAATATCTAGGAATAAATTTAACCAAGGAGGTGACTTGGTAATGGCTGATAGCTATAATCCACATAACAATGCTTCTTGGAATTCTCATCAATTTTTAAGAGAATAAAATGGCTTGAGAACTACTACTTTAGTTTTACTCAGATCCAATCTAGAGATGCTCTGAAGATGGTGGTTTCATAGTCCCAATCATCATGGTCCACACACCACGTCCTGCCTGGGCTTCTGCCAAGGCCTCTCTCTTCTTCCTTAGCCCCCTACAGTCCACTCTCCACAGGAGCTAGAGCCATCTTCTCAAAACGTGAAGATTGGCCAGCCAGCGTGGCTCAGTGGTTGAGCATTGACCTATGAATCAGGAGATTATGGTTTGATTCCCAGTCAGGGCACATGGTTTCGGGCTCAATCCCCCACTGGGGCGTGCAGGAAGCAGCCAATCAAGGATTTTTTCTCATCATTGATCTCTCTCTCTCTCTCTCTCTCTCTCCTCCCGCCCCTTCCCTTCCTTAAAAAACAAAAAGAAAAAATCTGAATCTTCATCAAAATGGTCACATATTTTTAACAGAAATGGTTCATATAATCTTCAAATGTTAAAAAAAAATCTAAGAAAATATGAATGTCCCAAACTGGTTTAAAATAAGTGAAAAATGCCCATTCTTGCCACCTTTACTCAACATCATACTAGAAGTCCTAGCCAGAGCAATTAGGCAAGAGAAAGAAATAAAAGACACCTAAATTGGGAAAGAAGAGGTAAAACTCACTACATACAGATGACATGATCTAATATATAGAAAACTCTAAAGAATCCACCAAAAAACTATTAAAACTAATAAATAAATTCAGCAAAGTTGTAAGATATAAAATACATAGAAAGAAATCTATTGAGTTTCTATACATTAATAAAGAACTATCAGAAAGAGAAATGAAAAAAAAAAACACAAACCAAAAACAATCCCGTTTACAATTGCATCAAAAAGAATAAAATATCTAGGAATAAATTTAACCAAGGAGGTGACTTGGTAATGGTTGATAGCTATAATCCACATAACAATGCTTCTTGGAATTCTCATTAATTTTTAAAAGAATAAAATGGCTTGAGAACTACTACTTTAGTTTTACTCAGATCCAAATCTAGAGATTCTCTGAAGATGGTGGTTTCATAGTCCCAATCATCATGGTCCACACACCACGTCCTCCCTGGACTTCTGCCAAGGCCTCTCTCTTCTTCCTTAGCCCCTTACAGTCCACTCTCCACAGGAGCTAGAGCAGCCGTGGGCAAACTACGGCCCGCGCGCCGGATCCGGCCCGTTTGAAATGAATAAAACTAAAAAAAAAAAAAGACCGTACCCTTTTATGTAATGATGTTTACTTTGAATTTATATTAGTTCACACAAACACTCCATCCATGCTTTTGTTCTGGCCCTCCGGTCCAGTTTAAGAACGAGATATGACGGATCTGGGATGGAATCTCATTAATGGCCAGGGCCTTGGAGATCTCACTTAAACTATACTACCTCACCTATAAAATAGGAATAATAATGCCTTCTTAAAGTTTTAATGAGATTAAGTCTCATAAAAATTTAAAAAGCTATGCAAACACCTAACTGCTCAATTCATTTTAGTTTCCCTTCCTTTCTAAAAATCATTCAGATATTGTAGGCTGGACAAGTTCCACCCAATTTTTGCCCAGCAGCAAACATACATTTCCCTAAGAACTGATGAAACCAATGCCTCATTTTAATCGGCCTAAAATGGCTTTCATGAATCAATGCAAACTGCTCTCAGGCACTTATTATAGACTAGGGGCCCGGTGCACAAAAATTTGTGCACTGGGGGAAGGGGGTCCCTCAGCCCGGCCTGTGCCCTCTCGCAGTCTGGGACCCCTCAGGAGATAACAACCTGCTGGCTTAGGCCTGCTCCCGGGTGGCAGAGGGCAGGCCCAATCCCTAGGTGCAGCCCCTGGTTGGGCTCAGAGCAGGGCTGATTGGGGTGTTGGGGCGCCGCCCCCTGTCATGCACAGAGCAGGGCGGATTAAAAAACAAAAAGAAAAAAACAAAGCAAAACAAAAAAATGTGAAGATGTGGCCCCCATGACTAAAACCCTCCAAAGGGCTTTATTGCATTCTTTCGTTTATTTGTTTGTTTTGTTAATCCTCACCCAATGATATTTTTTCCATTGATTTTTTTAGAGAGTGGAAGTGGGGAGAGGAAAAGGAGGGAGATAGAGGGAGAGACATTGATGTGAGAAAGACACATCAATCGTGCACATGCCTCAACTGGGGCCCAGAACAAACCTGCAACCGAGTATGTGCGTGCTCTTGACTTTGACCGGAATTGAACCTGTGGGACAACGCTCTAACCACTGCGCAACATCAGTCAGGGCCTTTATTGCATTCCTGCTTCCCACCATCTGCAGCAGCTCTATGTCTGATCACCAGTCTCTCTAGCCGTCTTGGCTTCACTTGTCCCCTAAACACATTAAGCTCATTTCTGCCTCTGTAATTGCTATTTCCACATTTGGCATAAACTGCCCCAGACTCAAAGGTCACTTCTCAGAGGTCTTCCCCAACCACACGGTTTAAGTAACCCCCATATTGACTGTCTTCTTCAAAAGAGCACTTATTTTTGTCTGTAAATATCCTTCTTATGTGTGTCTCTACAAGTAGAATGCAAATTCTGTGAGAGCAGAAAGGTCTAGAAAGGGGTCTAGTACACTCTGGGTGCTCAATGCCTGTGCTGGAAGAATACAGAAACAGGTCCCTGGATCCTGTCCTTGGTTTAGGCCTAGAGCCACCTAGAGCAGGCCAGGCCCTCAGCTCAGTGTGGACACTGTTATAGTTCTCCTTTCAGCTACTGGTGACAGCCTTCCCAGGAGTCCTCAACCTTATTCGGATCTTTTTCCTTCCCATGGCCCCATACTTATTAATACAAAATACTTCTTTCTCTCAGATGGACACCAACAACGGCCTAAAGGTGCATGGAAAAGACAAAGTTGGTTCCTCAAACAGCCACGTCCTCCTGTCCCTTTCATTTTCTCACTTCTTGGTTCAGATGGTGTAACAAGAAGAATGAGCTTTGAGATATGACGGATCTGGGATGGAATCTCATTAATGGCCAGGGCCTTGGAGATCTCACTTAAACTATACTACCTCACCTATAAAATAGGAATAATAATGCCTTCTTAAAGTTTTAATGAGATTAAATCTCATAAAAATTTAAAAAGCTATGCAAACACCTAACTGCTCAATTCATTTTAGTTTCCCTTCCTTTCTAAAAAGGACAAGTTCCATCCAATTTTTGCCCAGCAGCAAACATACATTTCCCAAAGAACTGATGAAACCAATGCCTCATTTTAATTGGCCTAAAATGGCTTTCATGAATCAATGCAAACTGCTCTCAGGCACTTATTATAGATGGAGAGGATCTCATTTCAGTTGAGTTGGTTTTATTTAGAAGTAAGTCATCAGTACACTGGGGAGATCTGGGGAGACTGGCAATACTGTCCCTTGAGATCTCATGGATAAGTTTTTTCTTTGACAATACTAATAAGATCGAAGGATGAGTTTAACAATTATTTTAACATTACATATAACAGCAAAAGAGCTCTCCGTAACAGATCTCTGAGAAGCAGATCTCTAAGTCAGCTGTGGTATTACCATTCTCAATCCCTAAAAAGAACTGCTTTGTTCACCACAGCAGGGCTGGATCTCATTTCAGCTGAGTTGGTTTTATTTAGAAGTAAGTCATCAGTACACTGGGGAGACCTGGGGAGACTGGCAATACTGTCCCTTGAGATCTCATAGATAAGTTTTTTCTTTGACAATACTAATAAGATAGAAGGATGAGTTTAACAATTATTTTAACGTTTCATATAACAGCAAAAGAGCTCTCCCTAACATATCTCTGAGAAGCAGATCTCTGAGTCAGCTGTGGTATTACCACTCTCAACCCCTAAAAAGAACTGCTTTGTTCACCACAGCAGGGCTGCTAGTGTTCCTGACAGACATTTACGGAAATACATTAAACAGTGCAAGTGGCGTGCCAAACACGGGTGATTCTCTCAACGGCAACCTGCCAAACAGAACTGAGAAGCAGAACCAGGTTTAACTGCGTGCTCCCTGAAAACTCCCGCAACACATTTCTGGAATGTTCTCAGGAGCCAAGCAGCTTCCAAGAATGCAGAGCAGTCTCATCGGCTATCTCCTCTTCCTCTTGCCTTTCGTCAGGGAGCGTTTGGGAGGAGGCTTTTGTCATTCAAAGCATCAACTGGTCACCCACCTGGAACAGTAAGGTTGAACCCTAGTTTCTACACCTGATACTCTCTCCAGGCCTCCTGATGCCGCCTACCAGAGCCGAGAGGGTCTTCATGGCCTCAGCCCTCCAGTCCACGCTCCTCCTGATGCCAGCTCTGGTCCCTGCCACTCCCCTACATCACTGCCTGTAATTCCCCGGTGCCACCACGACCAGGTCAGACCCCTACTCACAGATACGCCTACCACAATCTAGCCCTCCTGCACTGTGCTTTCACTTCCGGGACTGAGCTGCATAAAGAGCCCACGCTGTCCCGTGTCCATCTGGCAATCCCCTGTTCATCCTTTAACATGTGCAGATATCACCAACTCTGCAAAATCTTTCCAGCTAGCACGTGTCCCTTTGGACTCCACCAGTTTCTTGCAAATTCCACACCTCGTACACATCCATTTAACAAATAATTATTAAGCACCTAATGGATGACAGGCATTGGGTACAAGGACACAAGAGGAGCAACACTGGGACAATACTTACATATCACACTGTACTTATCGCATAGAATTGTAATTACCATGGAGCTACCTCTAGGACCAGAGCAATATTCTATGTACTTCTGTATTATTAGTACTAAGTCCAGTACCTGGCACAAAGTAAATACCCAGTGATTATTTTTGTAAAATATTGATTGCACATACCTGGAACTGAAGAGAAAGAAAACACATACAGAACAAATACATACAGAACAAGTGCTATGTTATTCAGAGATCTCATTTAAAAATGAACAATTTTCTTACACATTTCCCAGATTCATATTTGTTGGATTCATACTGTTAAAAAATAAATTTTTATTAACGTGATATTATATACCAACTATACTTAAATTAAAAAAAATACTGATTGTGCCCTGGCTCGTGAGTCTGCTGGTTGGAGTGTCATCCTGTGCACCAAAGGGTCTTGGGTTCGATCCCCAGTCAGGGCACGTACGGGAGACAAATGATCCATGTTTCTCTCTTTCTCCCTTCTTCTCTCTCTAAAACCAATAAAAACATATCCTCGGGTGAGGATTTAAAAAAAACTGATTGTGAAAGAAAGTTCCAATTAGCTACTAAATAGCTTTTACAACTAACTTAATAGTGATGATAATAAGAATAGCAGGCACTAACACTTACTGAGCATTTACTATATACCAGGCACTGTGCTGAACCCATTACAGGCATAATTTAACTTCCAGACCATCTTATAAATAAGGTGTTATATAACCCTCATTTTAGAGAAGAAAGCTGAGACTCAGAGGTCAAGCACCTATCCACAGTGCTGTCCAATACAGTAGCCATTAGCCACATGTGGCTGTGATTATTTTAGTTTTTCCTTTTTATGTTTTTTTTTATTATTTACATATTTATTTATTTTAATCCTCACCTGAGGATTTTTTCCATTGCTTTTATTTTATTTTATATATATATACACACTAGAGGCCCAGTGCAGAAATTCGTGCACGGGTGGGGGGGTCCCTTGGCCTGGCCGGCGATCCAGGCCTATTGGGGGGCCAGCTGGCCTGGGGGGATAGGCCGAGGGAGGTTGGTCAGCCG